ATCTTTGTTTATTTTTATTACTTTGCTATCAAGACTGCTGTCATAACAATAATAACAATAACAATAATAATAAAAGAAAAAAGAATCTCTCATAGATTTAAAAAGTTGGGAAAAAGACAGAAATAAATAAAAACCGCAACCGTTATGTTGGGAGATTATGATGACTTTTGCACCACATTGTCGATAAGATACTTCAAAACATTAAAAAAATTGTGGTTTTTGGTAAACAACGCGTATCTATGGCTGTGCATATATTTGAAATATTTCCGTTATAAATAGGTAATATTTGAAATATTTCCGTTATAAGTAGAATGTTTAGCGTAATGACTTTTATGACACTTCCGATAGTTTAAAGAAAAGGTTGTAAGGCTGAACATTCATCTGTTTCATGCAGGCTATAACTTACAATAAAAAAATTGAAAATTTTTCATAAAACAAGCGACACATTATTTTGAATTTTTTAAAAGTATAATTTCTTTTCATAATATTGTAGGAATCTTTAAGACGAATTCAAAACATTATCACTTAAATATCACTTAAATAACTTTTATTGGTGTTCAATATGAAATTTGCAGCATTATTTTAAATAGAGATAGTTATAAGCTCTGGCTAGAAATGTAAACATAAATACTGAAAATTGTCTGGGAACTATATTTTCACATTGTAAACATATATTTATCATCATAAATGAGAGGATTTTAACACGAATTCAGCGCACTACTAGAAATTTCACTTTTAGTTACAATAATAAAGAAAGACTGTAATTCACGTAAGCAACGACTTTCGGATAACTTTCAATATTTATGTTTATATTTCTAATCAGGTTATAAGTACTGTTGTTTTTAAAATAATGCTGCAAATTTGATTGGATGCATTTGAAAAATCGTGCGGATCATTATGCCGACATCCTGTATAACGATTTAAACTCTGTTAATTCTTTCCTATCGTGCATTTCTGAACTCGAAATACCATTGACTTGTGTTTTTGATAAGCATTTTGACCACAAAAAATATTTGTATTTGACAACTGTATACGTTCCGTCAAGTATTTTTATCGGCTGATATCTGTATTATTTTTCTTAATTTTCTTCTTTCATTAATCTTCATTCATATTCATTAATATTGTACACAGGACCGGTTTAATCCGTTCGGTGGCCCCTGGGCCGCCACACATAGAGGGGCCCTTACATATTGGAGCAAAAGAAAGAAGTCTCAACCGCAAAACATACAACATATTTTTCAAGAGAAACAATATGAATACATTTTTTATTGCACTGTCACCACATAACAATTATATGTATTTACGTCTCATTTTCTTTGATACAAACTCATTAACGATGTCATCGAAGTTTATATTCTCTAATAATGCATTCTCTGTGTATACAACGCTGTATTCGTTCAGTTTTTTCTGGCTTAGAGTACTACGGTGATCGTTTTTAATCACAGACAGTCGAGAAAAAGATCGTTCTCCACTTCAATTACTTGGTAATATTGTTAAAAATATGCGCATGACTATTTTGATGTTTGGAAAAATTCCAAACAGCTTTTCTACATTCAGTAATTCGTACATTTTTCTTATTGATCTTAATTCATTATCTAACTTAGCTCTTGGTTCTAAATAAAACTTAAAGTGCATGAATTCTGATACCATACAACTTTTGTCAAAATCAGTTGGATAATGATCGTATAGTTTGTCGCAATTTATCTTTATATCTTCTTCGCTTATCTCTAAAATATTTGAAATAAATTCAAATCGATCATAAATAGTTTTATAATTGTCACTTCTACGAGTCAGTTCCATTGATAATTTGTCTGTAATAGATATAAAAACTTCTATTTTAAATTTTTCTTTCCCTTCGCAAAACTATTGCATCTGATGATTTATCAAAAAATGAAAGTCTAGTATTGACTTTTCGAGTGCGTTTATTACTGTCCTTGTAATTCATATCTTTAACTAATTTTTTCGCTTCCTGCTTATAATTTTCAAATTTAGTTCTCAAACTCTGAATGTACTTTTCTAATGACGTTAACAAATCTACAACTACAGATAAATCAATACTTTGTCTTTGTATTTTCAGACGTGCTATTTATACGACATAAAACATCATTCCAAAAATACTCAAGAAAGCTATCTCTAATTCTTTCATTTCATTACTCAAACACATAGTTTCATGCCTAGTTTCCATAGACTGTTGCTCATTATTAATTATTATTTCTAGCGCATCTTCAATTTTATTGTATCCTTCTCGTAAAGCTGAAACCGCATCAGCTCTAGCTGACCATCGAGTCGTAGACAAAATTTTAGGAACTTTGATTAAATTTTACGAGCTTAAAATATTCCAACGATACGTAGAAACAGAAAAAAATGTATAGATTTTTGGTAAGAAGTCAAAGTATGAAATCACTTCCGTATTACAAGATACAGCATGAACGCCTACTAAGTTTAACGAATGCGCAGCACATGGTACATAAACAGCAGTAGAAGAATACTCTTTTAATTTTGTCTGTAATCCTTTATAGGAGCTCGACATATTTGCAGTATTGTCATACGACTGCCCTCGGCAATCGAAAACAGAAATATTGAATTTATTGAGTATTGAAAGCACTATATTTGATAAGTATTCACCTTCATGACATGTAATGGGAATAAATTATAAAAATCTTTTGACCGCTTGTCCTTCTTTAACATACCTTACAATGAATGTTAGCTGATCATTATGACTGATGTCTGGCGTAGAGTCTACTGATATAGAATAATATTTCGTTGTTTTAATTTCTGATATAATTAAAAATAATAATTTCTCTGCCATTATTTCGACAAGACATCGCAAATTGTCTTCGATAAATAATTTACATGTCCACGACCTGAATTACCATAGTTACTTATATGTTCTTTTAAAAATGAATTGTGTTCGCTTATTAAATCTAGGATTCCCAAGTAATTTCCATTGTCAGTAGTACCAAATTTATCACTGTTTCCTCGAAATGGTAAACCTCGTGAAGTTACAAATTTTATGACTGATACTACAATTTTTAAAACTCTCTTCCAATAGTTTTTTTTCTTCTTCAAATTGTTTTAATAAATTTGAATCAATACAATTTATTTCTCGTTGGCGTTTTAAATAAGTAATCATACTTTTTCTATGTGCAAAACTACTTTCATGTTCTTTTAATGATTAGTGAACATGTTTCCAATCATTAAAACCACTTTTGGAAATTACTAAATCAGATGTCGAAAAAAGATGACAACAGAAACAATATACTTTACCCTGAGACCGAGAGTATAATAACTATTCACGGTTTACTACTTCTCCATTTGGAAACTGACGTTTGAACGCATTAGCTGTTAAAACTCTTTTTTTTAATTTGTCACCTTCTTTGTATGTTCGGACAGAATTTTGAAAATCTTGCTCAATATTTTGACAAGGTCCTTTTTTAATCCAATAATAAATCATGTTATCATCAATTTTCCATAAAGCAGGATCATGTTCATAACATTCATTTGCCACTTGTGCATATGTCAATTGTAGAATCAGTTATAAATGAACTTTCTAATTCTTCGTTTAGTTTCAATTTTTTATAGATAGTTCACTTTCACAGATATTTGTTCCATCACTTGTAGAAGATTCAGATAAATTTTCGTCACTATTTATATTAATTGACTGGCTTTTCAATTTGCTTTTCAAGAAAAGACAAAATTTTTGGTAATTGCGTTATTTTATTCTTTTCCTCTTGTAACTTTTTTCTTTTACTTGCACCATTTGCATAGATTCTTTTCATTTCTCCAAATTAAAACCTTTAAATACGAAAATTCATAATTACTTGATTAAATTATATTGTGTTGTGATATGTGTGTGTACTTGATTAAATTATATTGTGAGATTAAATTGATTGGTTGGTATAGCTACCTTTCAATATAAAACACCGCAAAAGTACGAAGAAGGAGATTGAGTCCTCTTATTTCTTTTATTCAAAGAAGAATTTGCCGTGAAGAGCGTTTAACATGTCAGCAATGCACGACCACTGAATGTACGCCACGCGTCAAATATAAACAAATGAAAATCGGTTGTGTGAGCGAACTCTGAATATTCGGTCGCCGCGGCAGGGTCGCATCCGCGCACAACCGTGCGCAAAGTAGCATACCGCGAGCTTGTTCGGAGTGCCGTATATTACGCGACTCTAGCGAGGACCACGTGCGTGCGAGTATAGTAAGCCGTGTAAATATCGTGTTCATTGTTGCGACGTTATTTCTTTCTCCTGCAGAGAAAGCACGTGGTCTCGCTCGGCTCACGATCCCGACAAGAATATTTTACTGGTGGCGGTCATCGGTCCTTAAGAATTTTGTTACTCTAATTGATTCTCGGAGGAACCCGCGTTCCGCCGTCTCTAATTTTGCCTTTCGACGAATTGGACGCCAGGTGCGGAAATCTCCGGCCGCACTTCCGTTCGGTACTGGTTAATGATGGACCGATGTCCGCCCTCCGACTACCTAGCTTACTTTTGATTATAATCGGAGTAGGCGGGATTACGTGATTAATGTCTTATCATGAGCTATTATTTCACAAAAAATTTAATTTAAAATTCGGGGACTGAAAAACGGATACTTATTGCGGAGGTTCTTTGTTGGGGCCCTTGTAAGAGTGGGGCCCTGGGCCTAGGCCCAGGTAGGCCCGTGCTTAAATCCGACACTGATTGTACACATACTGAACGGGGTTATTGTTTTGACTAAAGCATTTGTGATGTATGTGACGAGAGAGAGAGAGAAGATTATCATCAATAATATATATAAATTATTGTTATATTATTTAATTATACATTAAATCATTAAAATATAATAATTATTATTTAAAATTACTGTTTAAAAAAGCTACTTTGAATCATATACAGATTAAATACGTATTATTTCTTCAATAATTTATCTACGGGAACCGAATCCTTTATAAACCCTTTGCAAGTTACAAGACGAACGCAAGACGAAAAGAGCTTTTGTTTATTACTTACCGACATTCATGTCAGGGCCGTACTCATAATACGTCGGGGAACCCACAGCCGCGGCCGCGAGCGCGAGTTCATCCTCAATATTGTTCGGCCTGCAGCTTGTAGTTTTCCAGTGAGTTCTCAGCCCGCTCGCACTAATGTACTTCTTGTCGCAGCCCTGGCAAGTATAGGGCCGCTCGTTCGTGTGCAGCCTCTTGTGCAGCTTCAAGTGGACAAACTGAGTGAATTTGGCGGGACAGAGGTCGCAGGCGTACGGCTTTTGGCCGGAATGCAGTCTGAGATGAGTCTTGAGATTTGAGGTTGAACTGAATCTCTTCTTGCATATCTCGCACTGGTGTGGCTTTTCACCTGAGAATGCAGGCGCATGTGCATGCGCATGTTTATATATTATGTAACGGAAATACAAACGAAATAAAGAAATGAGTTTGATGTTACGACTGGCGAGGTCTCCTCATCGTAGTCACATTGGTTCGTGACGTCAGCTGTAGCTTGAGGTTACGGTTGTGAGGTTTCCTCATCGCGGCTATATTAAATTACGACGAATCAGATGTGTGTCGAAATAAATACGTCGAGATAAATTGGTCTTTTTGTGTGTGAAATTACTCGCGTTCGATGGCGCAGATTGGTGAAATATTTCGGATTTTCTTCTCGCTTCCTGGATTAAATAGTGGCAACAATGAATAGTTAACGGTAAATCTGTCGATCAACCGCAGTTGAGAATATAGGACTTAAATTGAAGGATTGCACTTGAGGTAAGAAGAACATCCAAAAACGGCAATCTCTAGTATTAAAACTCTAGTAGTAAAACTATACACAATAAAACAAATAAGAATAACAATTAATTAATGTATCATTACTCCACAGTTGCAAAGACATTTTGGTGAAGCATATCGTTTTTCTTATGATCTCGAAATAAAAAGACGTAGTTCTAAAATTGTGAATTTATAGTTTATCATATCTTTTCCTACAATCCGTCATTTATGTGTTCATTTATTACGTAGTGGAATAACATTTGTCATATATTTCTACCTACTTATAATTTATCTAGAATTTATCTATTTTTCAACTAATGTTCTTATATAGTTCTTTTTTTAAGTTACTCAACCAGTATGTGATAAGTCGATCAATGAGAGTTAGAATCATGGGTGTTAGTAGATTTAATCAAAATCTCTCGCAACCAAAATATATGCAATTTTTGTTGCCAAATATTTTACATCTACTGCCCTCATTTTCATCATCTGTCTAACCGTCGATTCTCGTTTCTAATTATTTGTTATTCAAATTTTCCCCTTTTAAGAGTATTGCAAGTATATTTTTTTCTGATTGAGACTGTAAATTTCACAACATCAGTGTTACTTGTAATAATTAAGGAGAAAAAAGAATTTGAGTTATAGTGAAAAATAATTAAAATCGGATATTAAAAGTTGGAAAGGCTTGTGAAAATAGAGACAATATAGAATCAAGGAATGTTCTATGAAAAGAATGGTGCATACTTGTCTAAAAAAAAAGAAACAGTTATCCTTTTGAGATATTTCGAGTAAATTACGAATTAATATCCGCGATTTTTACTCTCGTTGCTGTATATCTGATTATATTGCTGGTTATATATAACATATGCTGATGTATTTATTTCGACACACGGAACAAGAACCATATTCATATGACTTCTCACTGCGCTGACGTCGTAATTTAATATAGCTACAATATCGCGAGAGCCAAGAACTTTAACACGTTAACAGCTCAGTGAGTTTCGTATGACTATTTATGGCATAATATATTTATCATGATCATAAGCTTATAACGATATAATAATAAAATATTGCGTAACATAAATAAATTAATCCCTTCCTTACGATTTTTGATATTAACGACGTTCTATGTAAAATAAATTTTCATTGCATTTTTGTAAAATAGATTATTTGACATAATTTATTATAAAGTCTTTTATGACTATATATATACTGCAAATTAGCGCATATCACATTTATCTAAATGCCTGTTAGCAATAGATTTTTAATTCTTTTCTCTTAAGTTTAATATAATATGGTAAATTTTGAATAGTTGAAAAATATGTGACGGTAACACTAATAAAAATTACAAAAACCTTTAAGAACTTAGAAGTGAATATTTCGATATACATATGCAGGGTGTCTCAGAACTTTGGGACACGGGCTCCGTAGGGACATAGAGTTAAGTGAGAGGAACAAAAAAGTCCTCTGCCATAATGTGAAAATCGTAATAGTTTTTTAATTATAACAGTGCAAAGTTAGGCGTTTTCCACGCCCAGCGCGACCTATAGACGCTCCGCGGCAAGCTATGTGCGTAGGGGCTGAACGATAATGCAGCTCGCACTGGCCATCAAAGCGCTAAGACGCCGCGCTGGGCGTGGAAAACGCCAAACTTTATGCGGTTATTACTAAAAAACTATTACGATTTTCACATTATGGTACAGGACTTTTTTGTTTTTCTCACTTAGCTCTATGTCCCTACGGAGCCCGTGTCCCAAAGTTCTGAGACACCCTGTATAAAGTATTTACAAAAATTCGTAAGATCATAAATATATAATTGTAGCAGCGATTTAGTATTATAATTTATAATTATATTAAGTTGCTTCTTAGTTTTCAAATATTGGCTATACTTGATCAAATTTAATAGACAAAATTAATAGACAAAATTAATAGACAAAGAATAGTAGACAAAGAAGAATAATAGACAAAGAAATAAAAGACAAATTATAGTTCCAAATAAAACGTCACATTTAACACAATGGAACTAGGTAAAGTTCAATACTCGCTATTGCATGCCTTATTTTAATTGAGGTGAAACTGTTGCAACAAATTGCAACTAAAAAACTGATTTGTGAAATCTATCGTGTCCATTGTTTATGTAAGAAATGATTTAAAAAGTTTAGAAATAGTAAGTACGGTATCAACGAGAAACAACGTTCTGGTCGTTCAAACGAGGTGAAAACAAACGAGGAGCAACAAATTGGAAGTTTTGCTCAACGAAAACATGGCCTAAACATTAAAAGAATTTGCAGGGCAGTTTGGGATTGATGAATCAATAGTATCCCGTCATTTGAAAGTAACTGGAAAGATCCAAAAAAAGGAATATGGCTTCCCAATGAACTCTTTGTAAACGCGATTGAGAATCGGATTATGATATGTCTCTTGTTATTTTCAGGTAAACAGAAGAGCTTTTGTAGCGATTAGTTGAAATAGGTGAAAGGTGGATCTACTTTGACGATCTTAAACGCAAAAAGTTGATCCTATATTGATTCCGATCAAATATCGACATCAGCAACGAACGCAACATCCACGGTCATAAGGTTCTCCTGTGATCAAGGAGTATTTATGAGTTGTTACCACGAGGGCAGACAGTCACAAGAGATCGCTACAATAACAAATTATAACTTTAAACTAAGCTACGAGGAAAGTTGCCCTTAACCCTTTAACGCCTGACTTTTTTATAAGTGTTTTAAGAATAAAATTTGAGTTTTTTTAACTGAGACTATAAGTAGTGATAACAAAAAAAATATCAAAATTTTATATCTACCTAAAACTACCTTTCCAAGCAGAAACTACTCCCAGAAGCGAAAAATACGCCTGATCAATTAAATTTTTTTTTAGTTTTAATAATTTTATATCATACCTAATGGTTGGAAAAATTCTTCGAAACATAAAACTCATATTCAGAACTTGATCTTTATTTATTCAGAATGAAATATTTTAAATGAGTATATGAAGTTTCCGCTTTTCGTTTGTTGGTTTGGTTTTTTATCGTTCGTTTTTTGTTTATTGGTAAATATGACTTTTGGTAAATATGACTTGGATCCTAAAAATATATACGAAATGAGCAACCTATGCAGAGAAAAATGAAGGGTAATCTATACGATATAATTCTGATAGTCAGCTTGACATTTTTGAGCTAAAACTTTACTATATTTGTGAGTGAACTTTATCATTTAGAGCGTCAAGCTTACTATTTCAGAAGAATATCTTATAGGTCACCATTTAGATAGTCAATCGTCCCTTCATTTTTTGCCGCATAAAAAACCAGGTATAGGTCACCAGGTTTCACGAAAATAGATTAATTTCTTGATTTTCGTGTTCACCATATTGGATTCGCCATTTTGAATTTCTATATTCTTTTAATTTCACATTTTGCATCTGAAAAAGCTTCCAAATGTATAAAATTATAACAGATACCAATCTATTCATTTATAGTGCACTTCTAGATGTCAGTAATAATGCTAACTATGCTTACTTGGAATTTGATAAAACATGTTATCATTAAAACTGAGCTAAAAACAGACTAAACCAAATCTACATACAATCTATATACCATTTTTTAGAAGAAGAATTCACCTTTACAGTGGTGCAAAGGAAACGAAAATATCTCCTTTTTTGACTAAGTTATGGATTCTTAAATACGTTTCTGGTAACTATAGTTATCAGTAGGCATTAAAGGGTTAAATAGCCATGAATCGAGGCAAAATTATCTTGCTTCACGACAACGTCAAGCCGCATGCGTTGTTGTTGCGACTAAAGGGACGTTATTTGAGTTAGTTTAGAAAATTCTGCTGCATTCAACATATTCTCCAGACATTGCCCTATTTGATTTTCATCTATTCAGATCGACGCAGCACGGTCTCTGATACATGGTTGCGAAAATGCGTCGATGAGTGGATGCCTCAAAAGATGAGTCATTTTATTGGTGCAAAGTCAAACTATCACCCGAAAGATGGCAAAAAATTATTGATAGCAATGACTAATTCAATTATGATATAAATCATTTTGATTAAAATATTGTATGCCATTTCATTGTTAAAATAAAGAATAAAACTGGATTTAATATTACATGAACGTTTGCAAGCATCTATGTAACAAGAAAATATCTGAATTATGATAGCCATTGCAAGGAAAGGATTAAGCTATGTAACCATATATACTTGCTAAGATTTAGAATCATCACGATACATTTATATCGTGATTTATCTTACTGTGAGTCATCGGCACTCCCACGGCAATCAACGTGTTGAAGCGATTGAAATCGTCGTATACTCAATAATTGCTCCACAAGACCAAGACTATTCCAAAATTAGCCGATATAACGAATTGCTGCCTCGGCTAGCGCGTGCTTACCGGTATGTACGAGATGATGCTTCTGGAGATGCGCGAGCTGTGTAAAGCTCTTGGTACAGACATTACACTTGAAGGGCCTCTCGCCAGAATGTGTCCTGAGGTGCACCTTGAGGTTCGATAGCTGGCCGAAGGTTTTACAGCACACATTGCATTCGTAATGCATCTTGCCGTCTTTCTTCTTGAGCGGGTAAGGCAATGACCTATATCCCCTCGAGCCCTGCGAGTTTGGGCTGAGGGAGCCGCTTTGGGAACAACCATGGTCGTCCGGCGACAACGAGCTCGCCGGCGAGTATCTGTTGAGGGATGACGAGTTGGCGTGAATGGTGAGACCGGGATGGTGGCTTAAGTGGAGATTGTGCGTGCCGGTGATCAGCGCCTGGTTGCCATCCATCTGCATGGTCGACGAGGTGGGTAACTGGTGACTGCTGCTGGCCGCCTCTAGCCTCCTGCCGTCCGACCTCTCGTAGACCACGTTACCGCTTGGTGTGGGCGAGTAAGCGGTGCAGTTAATGGACAAGGGCGTGACATTGTGATGCAGCGAACCATTTTGGTGTCCATAAAGACTGTATGGGTAGGGTGAGGGTGACTGAATCGGTGAGATCGGCGAGACGCTTTGATTGCTGCCACCGCCGCCGGCAGCAGCGGCCGCGGAATTCGAATAGACCGGACTGGACTCGATCTGACAGCCGCCTGAGCTAGAGTACAAGATCGTCGGGGTGGACATGCCATTCTGGCTCGATGGCGACGGACTTTTGGTCTTTCGCTTGGGTGGGCAGCCGCTTGTCGTTGTGGACGAGTGCGGGTTGCCGCTGGTAGACGTCAGTATTGTGTTGGACGACAGCACATTAGTGCTGGAGTGAATACCGCTGGCACCGCCACCGTTACCTCCGCCGCCGCCCCCGCCACCGCTACCGCCACCGCTACCTCCGCCGCCACCGCCGCTACCAGGATTGCTGGACGAATGCAAGCTACCAGGATGCGGCGGTAGACCGGTGTTTGCCGAGCCGGTGCTAGAATGCAGCCCGCCCGAATGCAGATTGTTAGTGGGACTTTGCATAGGTGGCGCGCCGTTACTGCTGGTCGAATTGACGCACGAGTCCGTATGCATGGGCAAGTTCGAGCTGGAGTCTGGGCTGCAAGGTAGGATATTGCTGTAACGGTGAGACTTCTTGTAAGAGTATGCCATCTCGGTCGGGCTGGAAGGCGGCGGTGTCACCGAGTCCACATGGGTCTGATGGTGCAATTGGTGGTGTTGGTGATGTTGTTGTGGTTGTGAACTGCCGTTGAGGTGATGCTGCTGCTGATTGTTATTGTTGTTGTTGTTGTTGTGATGGTGATGTTGGTGATGGTGGTGGTTGTGGCTATTGTTGTTATTGTTGTCGGTGTTGTTGCGCAGGAGAATGTTCTCCAGAATGGAACTGCTCGGGCTGGTGAGGTAGGTGGGTCTGCCGGACATCGGCAAGCCGCCCTTTACCTCCGGCTCGTAGAAGGGTTTAGTGTTCTTCTCGGGGATTACTTCATCTTCATTTACGGTCGACAATATGGCGTTCTTCTGGAGGATGACAGGCGACATTGGCTTATGGAGCTCTGGACTGACCGCCCGGCTGGAAAGCTCCTGTTCCTTATCCTTCGCCGGGCCGTCCATGCCCTTCGCTGTCTGGAAGTTGCCATAAGTCTTGGAGATCTTGATCTTCACCTTCCTGTACTCATTCTTTACTGCGGCGTTGTCCTGTTTCAGGATCTCGTCACTGCACACCGAGGACTTGGCGTTTTTGCTGAAATCTAGTACGTAGTTGTTCTCGGAGTCGGATTCGCTGCTTTCCTCGGGCGGCGTTAGGATCTCGTCATGGTAGCCGTTCGAGTGGTAGCCCTCGTCCGACCTGACGGAACCGTCCGTTGGCGTCATCTGCGAGCGCCTCTCGTAGATCGACGAGTCCTTAAGCGGCGACACCACGTCGACGGTGGGCGGGATTTCTGTTGGTAGCGCCGATTGCTGTACTTGTTGTCCTGCAAAATTTCGTGATACATGTTGCGGATGTATGTGCTTTTTATTGTATATCACGAGCAATTACGAAATTGTTTTGTTCTGAGTTTTGTTCTTAAAAACATCTTAAAAATTATCCTTAATGCAATAAGAACATACGGCTACAAGTTAGTCAAAATTTATGAACGCGAGGTATAAACTACAATCTTAAATGTCCAAATTTAAACATTTTTTTATAAATTTCACGCGCACTATTTTTTTCTTTTTTAGGAATATCGATTTACACATCTTCTGACGTACATATATTAGCTTGCCGATAAACATGTTTTGTGTGTATTTTAAGTACATATCGAATATTTTTATACTTTAACGTAGTATGATGAGAATGCACGTTTATCAATAAAATGAAATTTTTTAATTTGAGCTACAAACGATAACCTTTTTTTCTACCATCAATCGTTTTTCAGATTTCAACTTTTAATACAATTTTCGTGTTATTTTTTCACAAATATCGACTTAGATATTTTTTTTAAATAGTAACTCGTCGGTGAAAAATTAGATCACCTCACAAATAATGCAATTTTCCTCAAAAATTGACAGCTGCGCGAGTTATTTTATAAGTATTGAAAATCTAATATGTTTAGAAATATGTTGTTTGAATTTGTTTGATTTTGTTTGAAAAATTTGTTTGATGAATAAAGATTTGTAAAATTGACGTGATGAAATCATGTTAGTGGCGGATATATCACATCCCGTCCCGTTAATTTGACAGTTATTTATTGATTAAAGCAAACGAAAGGTTTTCGGAGTACTTGACAGATTTGCTGAAAAATGTCGTTTCGTAGGTACACTTTTATTTCAATGTATTTTTCGAAAATTCTGAATCTATATTCTCTAATATTATTGATAAAGATGATCAGAAGTAGGGAGACGAAGAAAGGAAAACTTAAATTACTTGATAATTGTGGTTAATATGTCAATAGACTTTAGAAACAATTTACTGTCAACAGTACTTCAGAGTAGTCTGCGTGCAATTGACGGACAATTGACAGCTGTTAGTATCTCGAGAATGCTGTTTTTAACGGAAAAAATTTGTTTTTTCGTGATTAATATGATCGCGTGTGATTAACATATTAATGTGTAATTAACATATTGATTATACACGGCATGCGATTATAAACGGAATTATTCTTTATGTATACTAACAATTTTCTTTTATTTTTTTTTATTACATTTAACATCATTTTAATTATATTTTAATTATTGTATGTAATCACATGGTCATTGTATTAATTGTGATCAAGGTGAGGATTCCTTAGGGCAACGTTGAAATAATTAATTTAATTTTTCTTATTTTTTCCAGAAAATGTAAAAATTCATTTTAAAGTTATAAAAATAGAAAGAAAGAAACATTATATCTGAAGCGCGAAGTAGTTAGGTCGAGAAACAAATTTGAGATGTTTTATTTGCCGAAAGATTGCTCTATCGACTAAACTATCTAGATTAGCTATTTACTAGATTATCTAGATTAACTATTTATGATTCGGCACATCTTTCTTTCTCTTTCATTTGTAGTCTTATTATCAAGATAGTGTGGTCCTCAGTTCGTTTTTTACCAAATTTTATTTGGAAATTTGTTAAGAATTTTAATTAAAAAAAAATTATCTGTTGAATTCTATGTCTCGTTTTGAGATTACATATTTATATATTAGTCATGATCATCAATTCGTAATAAAGTAATTAAAAAAATTGATAACCTTAATCTCTTGATTTTAAAGTTCCGTAATTATAATTCAGTAATGATTTTAATACACTAAATGACTTCTCCGTTTAATATCATATATTCTATTTGCGTGAGCGTGACTTAGTCTGCCTTATATTATTATAACTTTCTATAGTGCAACAAGAATGCATCATTAATAAAATAAAACGGAATTTTTTATTTGAATTATCATAAACAACAGTCCTTTTCTTATCAGTCCTATTCTTATCTAACTGTTATTTGAATTTCTAATTTTATTGCAGTTTCCGTACGCTATAATTAGTTCAATTAGTATAATTAAATTAATTATTATTAATTAATAATTAGTATAATTAGACCAGTATTGACTCGCGTATTTTTTAAGGCATCAACTTGTCGCGGTGAATCTGTGTTTTGTATATTGCGAACTATTGTTGAATCCTTCTGTTTTGTCTGTATAATTTTTTGTGGCAGAATAAAAATTGTTTGTTAACTGTAAAATAAAATGAAATAAAATACAGATCCTAGACGATCTCTATTCAGTTTGATCTTCACAATTGATCATTGATCGAATTTAAAATCTTGTAACAATTTTCGCGTGTTATTTTCGACGAATATCGACCTACGTATTTTCTGAAGCAGTCACTCGGAAGTCGGTGAGTATTTCGTACATCGCGAATGATGATTAAATTTTCTCTATATTTTTCGAAATTAAAATGTACCATGTGTTAGTAAAATATTCAAGCACGAGTTAGAGGCGACAGCTTTTTTCATAATGTTACATGTCGTGCAAAAATAAAGAATTTCATTACGGCTTCCATGTTCTATTACTTTCGACGAACATTGATTTCCATACATTCTAAAATTTAAGACACTGTTGAGAATTAAATGCAAATTTTCGGACAGATTTCTCTGACGTGACATTTATTCTTTTCTTGTTACTGATCTTGGCTCGACGGCTGAGCCGCCAATCGTACGTGAAACGCTGTGCTTCAGAGAAAGAGAGGAGCGTTCCTATATAAGAAATATGACGATATTATAATATGAGAAATATAAGATGTGATGGAAATTATACTCTCCGCAAAACCGTTATTATGCAGAGGGTTCGTCACAGTGTACTACAAAGCTTGTGTGCGGATAGAATGGGCCAAAATGAGTAGAAAAGTGCACTTTTATTTTTGAAACAGTCAGGCGAAATTTCATGATATTATCTATGAATATCACGTGAAATTTCATGGTAATAATTATGAATATCACGCAACTCTCATGTTATTAATTATGAAAGAAAATTAGCGAATCAGCGGGCGCGACGTTGCAGAACGATAACAATAACATTCGATACTGATCGCTGCTAAGAAACAATGTGCGGTCGGCTGTGCGATTGCGCGTTCACCAATCTTCTTTCACTAATAATTCGGAATTCAAAATAGAATTAGAAAATGTAGTATTTAGTTATATTTAAGAAAATAAAAATTACTGAGCAAGGGAAATATTTTTATAACGGTTTGGCGGGAGATACGATCCTTGCATATTTCTTACGTTCCGGAAGCTCCTGAGGCAGAATGTTTAACGTGCGATGCACGGTTAAGCGGGAACGGTAGTGGGGAGGGGGGAGGTAACGCAACATAATAAATGTTGTGTCAGAAATCTGTCTGAAATGTGCATTAGTGATGAGTTAAACGATTATTTTAATTTAACAATTGTAACGGTTACTGTGTTGCTTAAAACTGATCGATTATTCAAGCAGCTATTCAGTTAAACCGTTACTAATAATTGACTACAATATTGTGGGCAGACGAATAAAGCAGTTAAATAATAAATAATTTGCCAGTTCAACTAATCAAGCATTTATTGCTAGGAAACATTGACTACGTTCAACAGAGAAAATTATTTTACAATTGATGTTAAATTTCCGACTGATGTATGTTCTTTGTTTTGATTCCGGCTGATTCTAAGAGCATATACCAATAAGATTTACAAATGCAACAGTTGTGAAGCAGCTTTTTTTTTTATTGCACGCAGCTATTACGAGTATCATCCATAAATTAATATTTTCGTAAACCTTTTTTATATTTAAGATCATTTGTGAAAGGCTTATTACATTTAATGTAAACTGGGACTTAGACTTAAGGCAATGACAGCGCTCCTATCGTCACAAAAGATAACTAACAATTAAGGGAGTATTTATACTTTGTAATCGCCATCAACTCCTCGATTATTCGATTATTGATTAGAGGATTTATTATCGAACAATTATTACTTTGCAACGGAGAAGTTATGAACGATTAGTCGGTTGTTGGTTAAACAGATCGGATCGTAAGGGCGGATTCACATCTTGGCAGCATCTAGTCAGAAGTCGCGCTGATAGTCTATCTCTTTCTTGCGAGAGAGACAGACTATCAGCATCTGTCACTCTCTTGGCTTCTGCTGTTCAGCTAAGGTGTGAATCTGCCCTCAGTTACTGTTCTTGTAAGATTGGGTGTCGACGAAAACAAATGTTTAGTTTATTAATTATCGTTCAAATTTGATAACAGTTATCACATTATCTTTTTTTTTTGACAATTGTTACTGAATGACATTTAAGGAAATAATATCCATCACTAATGTGCATTTAATTCCCAGTACTGTTCTAAACAGTCAACTCGCCGGATACGTTTCACATTATTACCGGCAATTGTTCGTTGTTTTTGAATAACCGCTTTGTTTTTAAATAATCGCTGAGTAACTTCCTTCGTATTTTTATAATTTCCCATGACGCAATGTAAGGCTGCAAAATCATAGGCATCATAGAAGGGCGACGCAAAACTCCCCTCTACGATAGACATTCCAATTTGAAGTTTTCACAATTTCTGCGAGCTACGTCAGTTCGAATGTTGACTTACGTATTCTCTGAAGCATCAGCTCGCCGGTGAGCGGATAATTGAGCCTTTCCGCGAACTCCCTGCAGTACCAAACCAGTAACTCTTGATTCGGTAGTATCGGCTTGATCGTGTAAAAATAAATGTTCATCTGAAACAGGAATACACGGAGAGCGATTGAGTCTCGATTCCCTCCCCCGCTCGCTAATTTAAACGCGGTCTGGGAACACACGTGCTTGGCGAGATGTGCACTCGGCGAAATTGCTTTACCTTATACTGGCATGCTATTAGGTTTTGCGATTCAGACGAGTAAGCGGGATTCACGTAACGCATCCAATTCGATTTCTGGACGTCATAACCGTCGATGTAGTAGAACAGCTCGTTGTTCTTGTACACCTGGCAGAGAAACACATTTTTATTAGCGCTCCCCCTTTATATGTGCAACATACTCGTGTGGATTTTCGTATTCGCGACAGGGCTGACCATCTTCTCTAGTTAGCTCGAAAAAAATAATGAAGGAATATGACTTAAAAATGTAACGGTTAAAACCTCTTAAAGTAAAAATATGTTCTGCTAGTATCCGATCAATTACTACATGTTAATTATGCAACAAAAAGTAATTCAAATTTATAAATTTTACATCTTATCATCAATTTTGCCTCTTTTTTTCTTAATAAACTGGCATTGTTTTGCAACAAGTGGATATGAAAATTCGTACTATCCGTTTATACCGTTATAATTTCAAAATCTTAATTTTTAATGCTATTACCGCGATAAATAACAATATGTATAAACAAAAAGAAGCAATTAAACGTTTCCTTCAAATTTATATCATATCTTATTATCAATTTTCTCTCTTTTAATTTCCACTTTCTCCTTCTACCGATGAGTATAGCTGCAAAAAAGCGTGCAACCACTAAAACACCAAGAAAATATAATTTTTAAGACTTAATTCTAACATTATTAATTTCGTTACGTCTTAATTCTTTTTTCTTATAAATTGTCACTGTTTCCCGACAGATAGGTACGGATCTGAAAATATCCGTGCAACACCTGGAAAAGTGACACGTGCAACTTTTAGGAGTAATACGTGCAACCCACACACACACACACATGCATACGATGATACACTGCGGAAATTTGGAGCGAAATCCGCAGAGGTGGTCAACCCTAATCGCGACTCCATCATTACATAAGAGTAAACACCGAAAAGGCACCGGTCAATCCTCTCTCGTATTCGTTCGTCGCTGCACTTTATACGCGCTCGCAATACACATGCGCGCGCGCGTGCGCACAAACACCACACGCGCACGTCGCGTCGTCTCACGACGGATATCTTGGCGAGGAACCGCCAGCGTAACTATCGTAACGAATTGATGAGTTACGAGGCATCAATGGCTTCGCGGGTTTCGCTTTAAGGCTCGTCGGATCGGGCTAAAACCAGTTTCTGGTCTTTGTTGGCTTCTCCTCCTGCCGGCCCGCGGCTTTTCTTCAGCCGCTTCGTCGTCTCCTTTCTTCCTTCACTTCCTTCCGTCCTTCTTCCACTGTTCCTTCTCTCTTTTTGCCGGCTGTGCGTTACGTATTTGCGCGGCCTGGCGTTTACGTTGACCGGTGCCTCCTCGGTGAAAAGTTAACCGCTTCGTGTATGTAATCCATCACGGACTGGGATATTCCGGCGGTTGAGTAACACACGCGTCAAGGAGAGGGAGGTGGCTCTTACCCTCCAGAAGTACTTCCGGTTCGCGTCCGCCGGTACCGAATCCTTCGTGTACACCTGGCCGACCAAAGGGCCAAAGCGTGTTCCCTTGGGGATGTAACTGGTGCTCCATACACCCAACACCTGCCACACGTGTAAATTCTGATTAATCTCGACTGTTAGTCACGACCGATGTTATTTCGAGCCGATATGTATTTATAAAGGTTATCACGCGCGGCGTCGACTCCGCCTCTCGTCCCGCGACTCAAGTATTCATACGTCTATCAATTTCGCGGTCTCGGAGGAAATCTTAAGCTCAGCACTTGCCACTCGCAGATTTCGCACGGTTCTTCATGATTCATGATAAGATCCGTGAAGACTGATACTGATCAACGCATTTATTAACAGAGTTGTGAGCATTAATCGATAGAAATTGTAGTTGACTAAAACAAATGGGAGTAACATCGAGTAAAGTGTAAGGTTATGTCATCATTGTTTCGATCGATTACTTTGATTCGGTTAATTTTATTTATCAATTAAATTATTCATATTTATGTATATGTGGCGATTAATTTTGCTCATAAATTAATTTTGCTCATTGATTTGTCCATTGTTTCGTTTAATCGAGATTTTAATCGATCAGTGTCCGACATTGTTCGCCACCATGTGTCGCAATATGAGACGCGCTGATTTTCACGGGAGATCGATGTCACGTATGCATGTGACAGCTATCATTTTTCGTTCTATGCCCACGTGAATAAATTAATTCTGTTTTACACTATTTCCTAGCAAAAAAAGAAACAAAAGATGAGAACTCTACATGGCGACCTGTGACAGATGGTTTTTCGGATAAACGATACATAACGAACATGTTAATCTCTTCAGGAATGAATTTATTAAAATTGGAAGAAAATTATTTAATTTCAAGCGCAACACGACATAAATATAATATCTGTCAATCGTGTAACGAGATTTCTCTCTTTCTCGTAGAATTTTGCGGTGAACGTTTATTCACAGTGATGTTTGTTGATATTTTGTCGACAATGTATGAGTTAAAAAAAGGAAAATTGAGCGTATCCAAATGTACACTGTGTATCTTGTTCATGCGTCAATAATTCTGAAAAGGTTAATACAGGAAGCACAAGAGAAAAAAATGGTCATTCTCATTGAAATCAGTCGTTTTCACCGTCAACGATATTTTTCTATTGTCTTAACAGAATCTATCATATATGAAGTAGAACAGCCATCTATCTACAAGATAATTATCATTAATATTACAGTAGTGCTTACTATAAAAACGATTTTCCTGACTACATATGGAAAAAAATTCAATTCGCGCAATTGAGAGAGAAGGAGAGAGAGAGAGAGAGAGAGAGAGAGAGAGAGAGAGAGAGAGAGAGTATTTCTACCTCCTGCTGATTAAACTGAAACATGATTGCAAAGGCAGAAAAATTTCTGCAGGTTTCCGTTATTCGGTTGTTTGCATCTCTGATAAAAGAACAATAGCACAATGTGCTATTATAATATATGTATACGTATATATAAACTAGTTTTTATTATCATTAGCAGTTTCAGTAGCGCTCACTACAGAAATAATTTCCCCGATTATATTCTTTCCACTATGCAATTATAGTCACAGAGACACCGGATATTTTTCTCGCTGCAATCGAGTTTTAATACAGTCGACTATTCAGATGAGCATTTTCGGCCGCAGCCAAAAGATAAATTATTCTCTGTCAGTGAGCTTTTCGCCCGGCCCCCCTGGCGAACAGAACTTCAGTTACACAAAGCGAGCTTTTCGTTGCGTAATTATTTCACCGTATTCACAAGTACGGGAGACTTTCCACCTGACGCAATCGCGACACAATCGTGGGTTCAATTTGCCAAAGTCGTCGCTGGGAACTCCGCGTTGTTCCAAACCGCGCGATTCGAAGCCACCTTCTTCGCGGATAACCTTCGTGACGACGATCGATGAGACATTCCTCTGGAATATTATCGAGTACCCTCAAACGGCGCTGGCGAATGATCGGCGAATGCACGTGCGCGCGTGTTCGTTCCTACCGATATTCTCGTCGCCATTCGCTTGTCCTGGACGTTATTCCGTTAAAATACGCGGCGGAAGATAGAATCTATTTCCACCCCACATATCGCGTCGGAATAGAATCCGCCTATCTATCGCGCAAAGGTGTTCCTATGGCGAAACTAATTTAACACTTCGGCTCGCCTTCAGTCCTGCGAGCGCGAGCGCGCACGTTTCACTCCGATTAACCCTGCGCTCGGAGGGCGCGCGCCTCATATATTACATCGTTCTGCGATTTGCAACAGCCCTTCTAGACGTTTTTTCCCGCATGCGACTGATGATCTCTCGCGAACGCGCGACTAAAGAAGGCTATGAGACAGAGTCCCTGATTGTCGAAATTCCGTTTCCGTTTTCGATCTCAACTTTCCAACGTCTACAGTTTCCGGAGGATCACGATGGATTCATTTTCATTCGGTCAGTCGAAAAGTTCGCTTCGATTTTCGATATAGGTGACGTCATCCTCATGGAACACGGGTAATGCTGTGATGTCGTGTATACCGGGTGACTCACGTGAGGCTTAATAACTCAAATTTAGCCATTTTCAAATTACCTCCACTCTACCCACTTAAAAGTGGGATGAAGTCTTCCAAAATTTCTAGGATCTATGAAATTTGAGACCAGAACGATTAAAATTGACTACTTTGTAATTTTCGAGTTATTAGGTTGTTCGGCCTTACGTGAGACATTCTGTATGTGTATGTGTGTATAAGTTTTAATTATGAGTACATTTAATATAATAATGTTATATATATATACATATACTATTAATATTCTCCCTCCCTCTCTCTCTCTCTCTCTCTCTCTCTCTCTCTCTCTCTCTCTTTGATTCTACAATATTGTTAAAAAAGATAAAAACAACGGCGGCAATTTTTTGGTTGAGGATGAGAAATTTGCTTCTAGTAAATATGCAATGACACTAAATTTGATTCAGAAACAAAATTGAACTTTTTGACTGATTCAACATATTTTCTTGTATCAAACTGTTGCATCAATTTGATACGAGGGTTGTCCCAAAAGCAATGCACAGCATGCTCTAGCGGGCGTTGTAGGCAACGTAGACAGCTGATCGAAGCGTCAGTGTGTAGATTGAAGTCTCAAGAGCACGTTGGTATCATATGGTAGTGGGATTCGTTTAAAGGGAAAATGCCAAAAATTCGGAAAGACAACGAGAACAGTCCGTCGGGTCGGATTTCAGCAACAGAGCAATGTATATTCGTATCGAAACAGTGCGCGGTAAAAAAGTGTCCGAAATTCATGCCGCGTTAAAAGAAGTGTGTGGAAGGTTTATTGTGAATCGTAGCACAGTACAGAGGTGGCACACGAAGCTTTGTGCCGAGAGCACAAAAAGTTCGTCGCCAACAGTCGAAAATGAAAGGAATGATGATCTTTGCCTACGATAAACAGGGCGTAATCGCCACAGATCGAGTTCCGAGGGGTACTAGTCACTGGAGCGTACTACAAAAATTTTCTTCAGAATGTCTTGCGCCCAAAAATCCGTAAACTGTTTCCAGAAATGTTGCAAAGTGGTGTGTTGATTTTGCACGATAATGCGCGCCCGCACATCGGTGCACCGGTCATCGAACTTCTCGAAAAATACGGCTGGGAATGACTCCGCCACCCAGCTTATAGTCCTGATCTGAGCCCACCTGACTTCGATCTTTCCCAAGATGAAGGAACCCCTTCGGGGGGTGCGTTTTCCGACGCTGGAAGTGCTCCGAAGAGAAGTGACCCGGCAGATTCGGATGCTCAATAAGAACGGGACGCTGAACGGAATTCAAGCACTTCCGCGCCGCTGGCAAGCGTGCATTGATAAAGGAGGAGATTATATTGAAGGTCTGTAATCACTTGTATCTTCTTCAATAAATATTTTTTGAGTTAGAGCCAACTGTGCATTACTTTTGGGACAACCCTCGTATTAAATTTTATCAGATATATTTATACATTATTTTATTATATTATATCTGTGTTTATTGTTTTCTTGCTTATGTATAGGTTTTTATATTGAATTTTTGTATTATTAATTAAAATAGAAGTTACCAATTTTTATTTTATATCTCAGTTAAATAATATATTGACAATTTTCTAGTTAAAAGTTTAAAACGAGAAAATATAAATTCAAACAAAGTAGAATGTAGCAGTTTTTACTTTTTTAGAATCGAGAATCCATTAAAGTCGAAGGGAAATGACTTAATTTTGAAAAGATTTAAGCATGATTCTTAATAAAAAATATTCACAATAATGTTATACCTTTGTTATCAATGCCCGAATCGAAAAAAATCTAAGTATCTAAATAAATATATATATATATATATATATATATGTCAACATTTCTAAAGAAATTAAAAAGAAGCTGTTACTGTTAAACAGGATAAAAAATCGATCTGATCTGATCGTTAAAAATATCAGAATAGACGTTAAGTTTTGGTTATGTCGGACAGCACTACAATATTTACGATAAAATAATTACAAATTCGAGCGGTTTGCAATTTTTTAACTCCCAGTTACTTTTTCTGAGAAATAAGAAATGAGATGGCTGTCGGGAGTAAGGGTTCACTTCCGATTTTCACTTCCGATTTTTATAAAAAATTTCACGATATTTAAATAAAATTAAATAAAACTGTGGTCCAGTTTCGCACCGATTTGGAACGTTTCGCGTATAATTGTGGCCAGTGGTCGATAATTGATACAGAAAATAGCTCAATTTACGTAAAAATAAGAGCCCGGTAGTATCCAATTTTGAATGTTGAAAAATCGAGCAAGCTCTGCGTCAATCGACAAGCGCATGTTCTCGATTCTCGTCATTAAGGAAAGTGTAACGATTCGCTTTTAAATAACATCTCATAAATTAATTAGCCCCGTCATTCGGTCGAAGTTGATTTCCCGACTAACGTCTCCGCTCGCTCACTCGCTCGCTCGTTCGTTCACTCGTACGTTCGTCCACTTGCAAACCAGACCGGCGATTTAACGGATTGTGATTTTCGTCAGGAAGCCGGATCTGCTTCCTCGACTCGCGTCGGCTTCGCTCAGCCGGAGGATCTACGGTTAATGATCGTCAGTCCCGTATACCTGAACATCTCGAGTACTATCCGAGTACCCGAGTCTTCTGAGTATAATAGCCGAGTACCGAGAAGTATTTCTCAAACTACTCGGATTAGCGGATCTTTATCCGACAATAAGAAATATCATTTCTCATCTACAAATCGTTCTTTCTTTCAAGTCGTTCTGTGCATTAAAGCATTAAGATAAAGTCAAGGAGAAATGAATACTTTGCGAAATATTAAGTTTCCACATTAGGATATGTCAAGAAAAAATGTGGATACTTGGCAAAACATCAATCTTTCATTCGTCTTATCCTGATACTTTTATGAGTGGATTGACGAAGGGGATATATTTATTTAAAAGATCGAAAATTACAGGGTATCCGCGATTTTTTTGAAATTGAAGATTAATCACATCAAACAGGGAAAAGAAGTCTTTTGCTATTTTGCAAATAGGTACGCGAATTTTCAAGTTATCAATTGAAGGAGCCTCTAGATGTACTCAATTTCAATCGTTAATAACTTAACAATTATTGCGATTTTTGCAAAATGGTACATGATACTTTTCTTCTCAGTTTGATCTGATTAATCTTCACAATTTTTCATTTCCAAAAGATCCCGGACGCCCTGCATAGATCTAAAATCAAAAAGGAATAAAGTACTCGCAAATTTGGGCACTCGGCTACCGACAGCAACGAAACCTCGACGGTTTTGCGACCGACAACTCAACAATTCGTTAGTTAACGAATTACAAGAAAACAGAGATTTTTCAGGACAATTTCGCGTTCGCGTCGAGGAGATTTCCTCTCAGCTGATCGGAACGGGAATCTTTGGACGGTAGAAGAACGTACATCGTTGAGGGCCTGAGAGGCCTTGAGGACCAGGTTCCGCGGCAAGGACGCCTCCGCACGATTGGTATCGCCCGGCGATGCCGCCACATCCGGTACCAAATATACGGCATGCTGTTCGAATTCCTCCTCCCTCAAGGTCGCGTGATCCCACTCGCTGGCCTCCATCCTTTGCTGCAAATAGAACGGAAGGCTCTCGTTAATTCGGCTCTCCACTTTCCGCAGGGATACGCAAGAATAGCACTTCTCGATTTATCGACGTTTCTTAGCGCACTAATATTTTCTCTCGTCGACTATTTTTTCGCCTCTACGAGATCTTAATAATAGTGATAATTTTTATTGACAGAGGAGGAGCTTTCCTTGTTACACACGACATAGTGACAAATCGCAGGTGGGTAGGCATAAATCGGGAGGAAAAGAACAAAATGAGCGTCGTCGATGAAGAAACAAAATGGGACGCAAATAAATAATATATATAAATGAGCGAAATAATATAAACAAGCAAACAAAAGAATATATAATAGCAATATGACACAAAAATAATAAAAGACGTAAAAGATCTACAAAATCTCGCATACGCGAGAAAACGTTTCAACGCGGACGAAGTCGCTCCCCACGAAGGAAGTCAGCAGAAGCGGAAGATAAGTTCGCGCATTTCCACACATACACACACATGCGCGATTCTCCTTATTCCGCGCGAGATCCTTACTCGACATTTTTCCGAGGACATGTGAACGGCCCGCGGAATGATCTCGCGATCGAGCGATTTTTCGCGCACACGGCCGACGATGACTTGGCTGAAATTCGCGCGGCGTATTTCTCATGACGAGCGCGACGCTCTTGCACGAAAGCGTCGCCGTCGATCTCGACGCGAGCATCTCCGCGCGCTCCGAGCGTGTCTCCAGGCTAGCCGAGGAGGAAGCCCTCCATGTTTCCGCGCCGCGCTGTGCGAAATTTATCATCGCCGCGGCGGGCGAGCCGCGTGCATAATCGAACGGCGGATCAGCCGTCGCTTTAAGCGGATTATCGCGCGTGCTACGTTCGACGAGAGTGAGAGAGAGAGAGAGAGAGAACTCGTGGAATCCGTCGCGCACGCACATGCGTGCGTTTACCTCGCTGGCTGGCCGAAATGCCTCCTGGAAGAACCGATCGCGGGCGAGCCATTTTCCGCTCGCTCGCTCAGCGCCACTCGAATGAACAATCGAACGGCCGCGCGCGCGCGCACCATTGACGGCGCGCTATTTTCCCCGCGCTCGGGGCGAAAAAATAGCGCGCCGCTTTTTGCGGCACTACGCTCCTCGCGATTATTTTTATCGCCGAGGAAGTTCCAGGCGCCATCGCGCGCGTCTCGCGGGACGCGCTCGGCGGCCGCTCGCGATTGCTCTCGGAGGAATAATTAAGCGCCGCGACGTCGCGCGCTTCTATTTCTTGCCGCGTGTATTTCCGGGGGGCGGTGGTGGGCAGGCGGGGGGGGGGAGGGGAGGAGGCAGGGCAGAGACCAACCTATCCAGGAAACGATGAATTCGCAACGAGCCCGACTCCTCCGATCGCGCATCGGCCGGTCGACGGATGCCGGCCGACGCGACGCGGTGATCGATCGCGCGTTGCCGGAAATAAACAAGGCAAACACATGGAAATAGAGTGAATCGTCGTCGCGGTAATCACACCCCCGACCTCCCCCCTCCCGACTCCGTCACGACGATTTTTCGTTGAGGGGATATTTTCGGCTCGCAGTCTCGCTGAGACCGACTGACCGACACGTTCGCGGCCGTCGAGGCGACGCGATTCATAATTGACGATCCGATAAACTCGCGACGCTCGCGACGCTCGTTCCGCACGACGTCGATTCGCGACGGCAGCGGTCAGTGGAGCTCGCGGCCGGTCGTATCCGCGAGTCTCTTTCCGTGATCACGCAGTGAGGACATCGATTCGTCAATCGAGCGAGTTCTCAATCAACCGGACTTTCCTTCTCTCTCTCTCTCTCTCTCTCTCTCTCTCTCTCTCTCTCTCTCTCTCTCTCTCTCCCTCACCGATGCCGACTCTTCAATCTGCAGTAGTGCAACACTTTAACACCGCGAAAGTGAAACCCGTCCACGCATTGATCGACTGCGAGGGTGAGAAGGAGGGTGGGGGGGACGGCGAGCAGGGAAGGAGCGGGGGCGGCGAAGAAGAGTGGCGGGGGGATAAACTACCGAGTCCTCCTCGCCCCTCCGCCACCTCTCCCTCTTTCCCTCCCGCCCCCGGAGGGTTTTCGCTACCCGGCAGATTTCGATTTCCATGAAAATCGCGCACACACCCTCACCCGCTCAGAACAGCGCGGCGCGCTGTGTGTTTTTGCGACGCGGTGAACGTAAATCGCGCCCCCGAAATTCGAGGGAGGATAATGAGATAGATTCGTCCGCGAGATTCGTCGTCCGAGTCGTGATTCGCGCGATTTCGCGCTCCGCTGGAGAATCTTGTCATTTTCGGACTCCGAAGAAGAGGGGCAGAAAGGGGGAAAGGGAGAAAGAGAGAAGGGATGAGGGGAAGGGAACGAAACGTTTCTGCTGAGACGATCAGCAAGACGAGTTTTCTCGCAACAACCGCGATAAATTTACGAGCGCTTGAAAGCTCAGCGGCTCGAAAGTTTAACGGTTCTCCCCGTACGACCGCGCGATTAACAATCATTTATTCCGCCCGGCGAGGACTCCGCGTGCGCGGGGCATTCCTCTCGTGCGTGTCCTCTCCTCCGCGCCTGCGATAGCAATATTACGCGATGCAGTCCTCCCGTCTTCCAGCAGGGACAAACATCCTCCGCTTGACTGCCTCTCGATATCGCGACGATATTTATTCGATTATTATATCGTTTCTCGGTTGTACACGCGCGCGCCCTTCGATCGCGGATCGAGCGGCATGCAAATCGCGATCGCGCGATTACCACCTCCCGAGGATGCCGGCGACACTCGGCGGCGTCGCTCGAGGACGTGTAAACAGCACGCAGCTCGAGCTCTCTTCCGTCTGGCGACGAGACGCTCGGAACGACCGGGCACGCGGGGAAGCAGCATTGCGCGATATTACACGGCGACGACGTAGCGACGCACTTCGCGCGAAAGATCGTCGCACTCACGGCGATACGCTCGCGTATCCGTGGCCGCGACAGGATCGATCCTTTCGCGAGGGGGCATGTGCGCTGTGCTTTGCGTTCCGGTCTTTCGCGTTGCGAGTCTCCTCTCGATCATTCCTCCTCTCTTTCTCTTTCTTCCAGCCCCCCTCCGCCCGGCCCTTTCGCCACTCTCGTCCTCGCGCCACCGCAGGCGTGATCATTAACTTTCGCCGACACACGCAGCAGGCGGAATCAATCGCTCGGGCCCTGTTCAGCCTCGTCAGCCGAGTACACTGACTTGGTCGTCAGGTGTCAGTTGTCGAAGCAACTATCCGGGAAAGACCGACCTGTCGGAGGTGTCCCGACCACGCGAGTACATCCTCCCCCGCCGCCCGTCGTCACTCAGGACACGGCGGAGGGTCGTCGCTTCGCTGCTCCGTCATGGTGCACCTGCACCTGCCGAGACGTTCGGCCGCCACGCGAGGATGATGAATCGCGGCCGAGTGCCACACGCTCACCTTTTGGCACTCTCGGCCGCGCAGGGCGGCACTTTCCCTTTGCGAGCACGCGTCGCGTCGTCGTCGTCGTCCCGATCGGTGCGGCGGAGCGTCCGGAGGGCGCGCGATCGCGCCCCCCGCCGCGCGCGCGCGCGCGCGGGTACCGCGACGGGACCGGCGATACTCACGGCTCCTGGTGCATCGGTTGCTCGTGACGACGGTGTTGTGTTCCCGCGCCGGAAGAGCTGGCGAGCCGGGGTGTACAGCTAAGCAGCTTCTCTTGAGAGCCGGGGATCTCCGCCTCGCTCGCGTTCCCTTCGCCGTTGCGCGGCCGTGCGTGCGCGCGCGCGGCCGAAGGGCTCTCACGGCCCGACACGGCTCTCTGCTTATGCCCTTTTTTTCTACGTAATCCTGTGGTTCCTCAGGGACACCGGCATCCCGGCGGAGACGGAGTCGCAAGCGGCGGTAGTGCACGCAGGCCGGTCCCGGCCTCGTCGACGCAGGCCGCCGTTCTTCCTCAACATTTATCGCTCGATCGGAGGACCGCGAGAGGGTACAAGGCGAAGGCGAGGGATTGACGACGTCGGTAAGGCCGATCGCTGCCTAGGCGGTCCCCCGCGGTGGTCCATCTACGCGACGCTTCTATCGATTATCAGGACATCGGGAAAAGGGAATCCCGATCGATTCTCTTCGCCGATCGGCTGGCATTCTTGCCCACTCCCGTCTCTCGCCGCGCGCGATCACTCTCTCTCTCTCTCTCTCTCTCTCTCTCTCTCGATGTCTTTCTCGCCCCCGGTGTTTGTCAACAAGGAATTTTCGACGGCGCGCTCGCCGATCGCAATCACGCGCTCCGCGTCAGCTACGTCCAGCTCTCTTCGTTGTTCCACAGCACCGCGACGATCTTCCTCTTGCCGCTTGGCCGCGACGGGAACAGAGAACGGATCGTTTCCGCTTTCAAGGGAACCGATGTACATGCACACACACGCACATACTCACGCACACACGGCCGCGCGAGCGCGCGCGCGCGCGCGCACGAAGAGAGACGACACTTGCGATTATTCACCGGCAATCGACAAACTTGCCCTCTGGCCCTCAGTAAAGGGAGGGCACCCTTTTCGTGACACGGAATGCTGACACTGTGACACCGACTTGGCCGCGAGATCACACCGTACGGCACCGATCGGAGTGTCGGTGCCTCGCGTTACCGAGACGCGATCCCTCTTCGTCGTCTTCGTCGTCGTCGTCGTCGTTGTCGTCGTCGTTCGCGACGGCGACGGCGGCGGCGGCTGCGGCAGCGGACGTCGCGCGATGTTTACGCTCTTTTCGATTTCGCCTCGCGAAAAATCGCTCACTACTCGCTCGCGAAGGCAGCCACTGTCGCGCGAACCGGGAACGTGGCGACCCTCTTTCCGCGAAGGGGTTGCGCCTCCGCCTTCGTGCAGTTCTCCTCGGCGGGATGGCACACGCAAGAGAGCGCGGTGTGTGTGGAACTCGGGTAGGCCTGACCTAGCCCAACGCGACTCGGCTTGGCTCCTCTCGTCCTCCTCCTCCTCCTCTTCCACCTCCTCCTCCTCCTCTTCCTCCACCTCCTCCTCCTCCTCCTCCTCCTCCTCCTCCTCTTCCTCCTCCTCCTCCTCTTGCGCTGGTATTGGTCGGCGGATATATGTCTGTCTCTCTCCTGCTTCCGTCTCGCTCTCTCTTTTTCTCTCTCTTAGTCTGCCTCTCTCTCTCTCTCGCTCTTTCTTCGTGCCTATCGGCCTCGCTCTTCCTCACGCTCGCTCTCTTTCTCTCTTTCTGACGCACGCGGTGGTGCGCCCGCAAAGCTGCCAGACCAGAGCAGAGATGGTGCATTTCTCCGCGCTGCGCTTTCGATCGACCCGTTGCCGGTGGTTTCCTCTCTCTGTCTGCCCCCTTTTCTCTCGCTCTTGTCCCCCCCCCCCTCTCTCTCTCTCTCTCTCTCTCTCTTCTGCACCACCGCGAGTCCTCCCCTCGTCCCTCTCCCTCGGTGCGTCTCGCTTTATTCCGCACGCTACTCTCTATCCCCGTTCACCAGCCATCCCCCGCACTCCACCCCCACCCACCCCTCTTCGTTCGCTCCACTCCTACCACCCTCTTTCTCCTTCTCCTCCTCCTCTCTCGTCCTCCTGCTCCTCACCCCCTTCTGTTCTCTCGTGCATTTCCCTCGTGCGTCCTCGTCTGGCCGTTTATCGCGTTCCATCCTCCTCGTCTCTCGCCGGTCTCCCCCGTTAACCCCCGTCAACCCCTGACGCTTCGACGCGCGTGCAAGCGACCACCCCCTCGGGGCGCGCTCTCACCCCTCCCGTCGCCGCGCCGCTTTCTCCCTTTCTCTGCTCGTCGCAGTGCTTGTTTGCTCGTCCCTTCGTCCGTCGTCGATGACGACAGCAGGCATGCGCCGATCGAGACCGAAGTTTAATTCTTCGGATAACTTCTCGCGATTATAAGGCACCGCTGGCTGTGCCGGATAGCGAACTTTCGCCGAGAGTTCGGTGTCAGCCGAAGGGGTCGGTGTCGTTGGAAATACTCGCGAGCTTCGAAAATATTATATCCCTCCGGCCTTTTCCCTCACAGCGTCGTAATTTTAGTTTGTCAGCGCGCGAGAGTTGCTTTGATGTCCGTCAATTCGAGGAAGCTATAATTCGGATCGAGCTATCGATTATGGATTCTAGTACGCGCGTATCGACACTCGTCTCTTTTGGGACTTGGCTCATATAAGTCATGCGGATAGGAATTTAGATCTGAAAGTATTTCAGTTAGTTGATATGATACATACGCGAGAGGGATTATATTTGCAATTGCGTTTCAGCTGGAAGACTTGGAAGCTGGAAAACTTGGATTCTGAATTCAGTTCCGAAGAATATCTCTCACGTGAGAGAAACGAGTTTTGAGCAACGACTGCTAATATGCAGATTCTGGGCTCGTATTAATAGTCGTTACTTGAAATTTATATCAAGTGAGATGATTCTGGGCTTAAAGTTGAATACGAACTTTTCAGTCGAAGTGCGGTATTACAAATATAAGTCGTAAGATTCAATCGAGAAGGTTCAATACCAAATTCAGATTTGAATGCCTCGTGTGAGAGAGCTTCGGGTAACGATTATTAATATCAATACGGATTTCAGCCGATTTAGCAGAAAGAAACGATTCCGTGTTATTACGGAATTTTGGGCAACAATCGATGAAAAAAATGTTGGCTGACTGAAATGATCCAAATTAATACGGTAATTACATGCAACGGCTGTTTCAGCCGACCGATCGATTGATTTCACATGATTGATCATCAACACTAATCAATAATTAATTACGCCGATCGATCGAATTATTCATAATTACGTGCGCGACGATTGATTAAGTTCGATCGTCGCTCCGCCGGTTATTTTAGTCGACTGAAATTTTTCAGCTGATTCATGGCCGGACACTCCGCCGGACTCGCGAATTGTTTCAGACAAACACCGCGTACTTTATTCCATCGCATCCAACGATGTGATGCTTTTCCCGCGGCTGTTACCACAGTAACGCGCCTCGCGCGTACCTTCTGCGCCGGAAACGGCGCGATTCGTTTCGGAAAACTCCGCTCGCTCATCGCGCTCGCTCGTATCTCGTATCCCCGCACTATATTTATATCTCGTGCTCCTCGTGTTTTTCTTCGACGTCCCTCTCGCACCATTTCTCCTTGTCCGTCGCCTTCCCGTAACCCCTTTACGCGGACGGGTGTTTAACCTCCCCGGTCGTCTCGGTCTCACCCCTCCGGCCATGTATTCTCATTCACGAGTTGGCGCATGAGAGGTGGTCGCGTACGGCGCGCGTGCCAATGCAAATCAGCAGATATTGATGTATTAGGCCAATCGGAAAGTTCCGTCCCTTTTTTGCAAAACGTATGGCTTTATTTAAGAAACAAAATGAAAAAGCACACGAATCAAAATATTGTCCATCGTTAGCCATGGCGTTTTTCCATCTTTCGGTCAGCAAGCGAATTCCGCGGCGAAAGAATGACTCATCTTTGGAGGTTATCCAGTCAGAGACCCATTTCTCGACGTCTTCATAAGAATTGAAGCATTCGTCAGCAAATGCGTGTGCCATCGACCGAAACAAGTGCTAGTCGGAAGGGGCACAGTCTGGTGAATAAGCCGCATGGGGTAACACTTCCCAGCGAAGTGTTTCTAACCTTCCTTGACAGATTTTGTGACGTGAGGCCGAGCGTTGTCATGAAGCAAAATCACCTTATGTTGTCTCGTTTCATATTCTAGTCGTTTCTCGTGCAATGCTCAGCTCAAACGGATCATTTGTTCTCTGTAGAGATTCCCTGTGACTGTTTGACCACTTTTCAACAGCTCATGGTACAGCACACCCTTCTGATCCCACCAAATACAGAGCATTGCCTTCTTTCCGTGGATATTTCGCTTTGGCGTCGATATTGAGGGTTGGCTGGGGTCGCAAATAGTTTTTCGACGTTTGGGGTTATCAAAATAAATCCATTTTTCATCCCCAGTGATGATACGATGTAAAAACCCCTTTCTTTGTTGCCTACCGAGCAAAATTTCGCAGGTGGTTTTTCGCCTTTCAATATCACTTGGCTTCAGTTCATATAGGACCCATTTTTCTTCCTTGTAAAACTTTCCTAAGACTTTCAAACGATTGGAAATGACAGATTGAGCACAATTTAATGCTTCTGCAAGTTGCTTTTGCGTTTGACATGTGTCTTCGCCCACCAATGCCTGCAATTCTTCCTCTTCGAATTGGCCGTCCAGAACGCTCTTTGTCCTTTACATCAAAATCACCACTTTTAAAGCGTCGAAACCATTCTCTGCATGTTTTATCGGAAGGAGCATTATCACCATAAACTTCTACAAGGATTCGATGAGTTTCAGCTGCAGTTTTCTTCCAATTGAAGTAAAAGATTAACACTTCGCGCAAATGACGCTTATTTGGCTCAAATTTCGACATTTTCGATGCAGTAAAAAACAATGTTATTGATGCAAATGTATACCTTTATGTACTGAATGTTATTGACAGGTGTCAAAACAAACCATTAAGCTTCGCTTAGACATTAGAGGTTAACGACAGTTCTAGTTATAGCTACTTGCCGCTACATGAACGGAACTTTCCGATTTACCTAATATTTCGAATTTCCGAGCCCCGAATCTCTCTCGGTTACCTTCTCTTGCGAGACGATTTCGAGAGTCCGCTGTTGATACATGAATTCGTTCCAGTGAGACACTCAAGTACCACGTGACACTTCCCTCCCCCGTGATAATTCATTCTCCGTCTGAACGTGCTCGGTGCAGTCGAACAAATTGAATTTCACCTGACAATGTCGCTGTTCCAATCTTTTCTCTTCAGGATTGTTATGTACTCTTTCTCATATACGCTTTCATATCCTTTTGTATCCTTTTTCTCTTTATATTTGTGTTTAGTGTATCGTACCAAATGGAAGATTCCCGCAAGTAAATAAATAGATAAATATATATCTATCATTAACGCGTATTGACCGCCATGTCAGTCGTATCTGGATTTTCGCCCCCTCCCCCCCCCCGTCACTCGTTTGTGCTCAACAGTTTCATCAAGTTTTATTTATCAAATATTTAAAGGAATATTCAAAGGAAAAAGTGACCAGATATTAATGACGCATTGAATACTACTTGAATACTATCATTCGTAAACGTGTGACGCTAATAACTGGATCCATCTATAGCCGACACAAAAAATTTTCTTTCGAAATTTTTCTTTCTTAACATCACAAGTAATAGAGTAATAAATATACCATGACTAATTTTTGCTCGGTTTCTTCCAACACCCCCAGTTGGGGGGGTCAAACACCTCAATAGTTATCTTTCAGATAAAAATATCTGTCAGATAACTAAAAATTCGTTTTCTTCACTGGAATCTCGGATTACATATCTAATAAATAGATAGCTATTCCTCATGCTACTAACTTTCACAAAATGTATTAAAATTTTACTATAAATTACCATATTCTGTCAGAAAGAGAAAAAGAGAGAGTGAATTCAAGCACTATATCCTTTTCCAAACGAAACTATTCGAAAAATTCGGTGTCATCTCATATTTGAGAATTGTTCGATTTATTTCTTATTGTATAAAATTCATCATCATCATCGAATTAAAAATATTATCATCATCATCATCGAATTAAAAAATATTGATATCCACGAGCAACAAATTCATTATTATGTTTGTGTTTTCAGAAAAACAGCAACATGATGTACTCTTGTGATTTTTTAGGTCATGTCAGAGGGCACTGAAATCAATATCAGAGATATCCTCTACTTTACTAGGATTTATCTGCCGAATACAAACTTACAAAGATGAAGAAAACTGATTCTGGAAGATATTGTTTGGATAAAGCAATCGAGATATTATCTACAGGTGAAAAAATTGGGCACTGGAGATTAAAATTGGTGACAATCGAAGGAAAAAGTCACTCACAGCGTAAATCTCGGTGAAATTTAGTATGGGACATACTTAACGTTGACATGACGCACTTCGAGA